TCATTATGAAGTTATGTCTAGATATCCAATTTATTTTAAATATTGGCATATCATAGTTATGCCATATGTATTTACTGCAGTCTTGCAGTTGGAGCTGATGTCCCAGGAGTAGGGGGTTGCAGTTTTTTGTTGCAATATTACAAAAAGCTGCATAATTTTGAGTCCTGTATATCTATTTTAAGTACTGCATACATTTAACTTCTTAAGAAATTTGTGTTTGACATCATTATAATTATGAGTGTAAGTGTGTGTGTGCTTGGTAGAAAACAGAGATCCAGGCAAGAATAGAGAAGCAAGCATAGAAACTAAGAGCACTGTGTTGAAGAAGAGAAATCATGATTATTTTTAAGAAGTAAGGAGTATGAGAGAGAGACTTCAATCAAATTTCAAAGCAGGCTAATTCTAACTTAACTGTCAGATAATGTAAATGCCAATGGGAAATTCTCAACTCTCAACACTGTGAAATTCTTCAGAGAAGAACCTCCACAGTGCAAAAAATCTATGAGGTTGATCCTTAATAAGAACTCCCTGAGCTGGTACTGGGTTCTTATTGTGTGCACTTAAGCACCTCTACAGATGAAAACCCTTACAGATCCTGGGTTAAACCTGCAGTCCTTACACAAAGGGATTTCAGTGGAAGTTGAGGTGTATATACAAGTTTTAGTAAACCAGGAATTTTAGTTGGAGATTATCAAACGAATGCTTTTGAACATGTAGGATGGAGTAACTTTTAACCATACTGGGTCAAATCTTGAAGACCTTAGCTTTTACTTAGCCCTCGCTCAAAAACATTGTAATTTTATAGAAGCAAACAGTTCCCAGTTGAGATGAAAGGAAAATGATGCAATTCGAGTGTCCAATATTTTTCAGCTGTCTTTGAGGTCAGTGTACTTATTTACTTCCATCTGTTTACAACTAATAAATTTATTAGTGAATAAAAATAACTTAAAGGAAAGTGTCAAATAATCTGTTTATAGTCGACTACAGACCATTCAGTCCAAGTAAAGGATCAAAAATATAGATATTGTTGCTGAAATATTGTATAGTTAAGAACTATTTAGTCATAACGTTCTCAAGAGGAAGAGTTTTTGCCAAATTCAATGAAGTTATACTTGTTTATACTAAAACTGAATTTGGTCTAATATCAGTAAATTCCAGTGAAGAAAATAAATGAACTAGGGCTTTTTCCCCATTCTACCAAGGATTCAGTGCTGAGAACAATTCCAGTATAAATAATTATTAGTAACTGGAAAATTAAACTCATTCTAGGGTGCTGTAATTTGCCAACTTCGATATTGGATATACTAGTTTTGTTGTTATTATTTGCCCTTGATCAACTAGTATATCAAAGAGTTGGTAACAAGTTTTTGGAAAGTGGGAGAAATTGATAAATAATGTTTATGGTAAAAAAAATACAATTAGCCCATTTAATAATTAATATATTAAAAAATTTGAGAAGATTAAATAAGATAGTAAAAAAGAAACAAGATTGGTGGTGAGTTATATCAAGAGGGTAGAATCATGTTAAAGAAAAGAAACGTTATCAAGTGCTGCATCTTAGATATCTATAATTCTACACAAATTCTTCCGTCTCCTTTGATGTTCCAGAAGGTTGAAAGCAATGTGGAGTGACTTTTTCTTCATTGCAAAGTAAGCTTGAAGTATCTGCATTTGAGTTAATTACTTTCACGTTATTCTACCTCTAATTAGAGTAGCCACACTGCAAAGTAACACTCAAATTAGAAAGGCATCATATTAGCATCTAATGAGCTATACTAACTTTATTTGTGGCTTATTCTGTGACATGTCAGCCAGCTTGAGTTAAACACACTCAAGGTGTTTTGTGAGTGGATGCGATTCAATGTAGAGGTAACAGTCCAGTTAGGACAACCAGTGGTGCCTGCGGGATCATTCTTACTCAGGATTCATTCAGTAAACTTAGTGCTTCTCTTCTTTTTTATTTCCTTGTATATTTCCTGGAGTCCTGAACTAAATTATGTCCTGACATCAAGATTGCCTAGTTACACTACTCAGTCATTATTATCATCTTCATTATTGTTGTTGTTAGTATCAGTATTATTACTATTTGCCCTTGATCAGCTAGCTCTTTGTGATAATCTCCAAACTTTCAAGTCCCTTTGTTCATAGTTTTTTACAAGGGGCTACCATGGAACATCAGTGGTTTTAAAAGGATACATAGTTTCTAAAACCCTGGCACAAAAACAGTCAACTCAATGAAACACAGCTCTACATCTTTACTGAAGTGTTAAGGTACTTCATAGAACTAGAACTATGGAAGTACCTGATGAACACTTCAGCTCATTTTATTTCATAATGAGATACAATATTGTATTTTATCAGTTTTTAGGACAGCTACACAAATTTAAATTAATCTCAAAAATACTTCTGTAGGTCTGTGTTGAAAGTCCCCCTCTCCCCTCCCCCCATCATGTAGGCTCTTGAAGTTCAGATTCTCCCTTCAAATATAAAGACACAACATTTAATCATGGAATCAAGTTTGGAAGGGATCACAAAAGGTCATCTGGTCCAAATGACTGCCGAAATACAGGAATGCTACTCCTAAATTGATCTTGTCCAGTACTTATCCATCCTCCTTAAGTGAAGCAGGGACATTCTGGGGTGGGGGGTGAATTGGGGCAACTGCCTGGGGCCCCGTGCTTTGGGGGGCCCCACAGAATGCCATACAGGCCCCACCGTGGCCGCCATGCACCACTGCTGCTCTGGCGACACTCACCACCCCCTTCACCGCCCCCCCCCCCCCCCCCAACCACAAAAGCCCTGTGGGGTTCATGGGGCCTCCAACCATGGGCCCTTTTGGAAAAG